AACAAAATAGTTCCTACGCATAGCTGTATCTTTGTCAATAGTGGGAATATTTGGGTAGTGCTAGTATCAAATGAAAGCTTGGGGACTTGGGGTCACTGTAGAACCCTTGTTGAAAGTTTTATTTGAATAATAAAGAAGTATAGGAAATTTTAATAGGAGGGCTCATTTGGCCTGTTGTTCAGATCAGAAGTTCCTGTTTTTGTACTATCAAACTTCCGGGAACCAGTACGCTCTAATATGCAATTAAAGGTATGTTGATTTTTTCAGCACAAGTCAGCATAAGGTACAGTTTTGACATGAAATAACTGCCACTTTATTTGAACTTAAGATAAAGTAGCCATTTATGCTTGAAATTGCAGAATTTAACATAGAAAGCAATGGGGCTATAAATTAGTGGTTTTATACCTATTACTGACAGGCATGTGAAATTCTATTTTTAGAAATCATACCCTTTACAGTGAAAATTGGTCACATTTGTTGTCAGAAATCATGTTACATTATTTTTTTTATGTAACAATTATGTTAGTGTCAAATTACAGCCCTCAAATTGCTACAATAAGGTATTTTAGCCTTTTTTGGTCATTTAGCATGCACACAGTTAAGATTTTACCTGAAATTTAAATTTTTGGATTATCTAACACTGAAACCAATGAAACTTGTATACTATGACTAGTTTATGGTATAAATATTGTTTTTGGTCAAATTATCTAGTGAGTGTTCATGTTTTATTGTGTTTCTTGGTGAATTATTTATTTCAAGGAAAATTGGTGTATACTTATATAGGAATTCCAAAATCTCACTTGAAATGCATTTTATAACCAGTTTAGCAAGTTGTCTAGCTTGGAGATACATAAATTGCTTTGTTGATTCATGTTTATACATGAAAGTATGGTTTTTTTACCTAATCACTCTCCTTTTCCAACATGTAGAAAAAAGGGGGGACAAAATTATCAATTATATTTTATGTTTGGACCACTGTATTTATATTCAAGGAAGAATCTCTGATAAAAATAAGACATATAGGTAAGAACACTGTTATTTGAGTAGATATTAACAAATCAGAACTGGTAAAAATTGAAAAAGTGTCATATCTGTCACTATTAGTATCCATATGTAGTTTTATTTGTTTAACGCATATGTTACTACCAGTCCAATTTGAGCTTGAATTCAGTGATATAGTGTTTTGACAAAAGCTTTATGTGTTTTTCTATGCTAGAAATAGATCATAGAAGGAAATTAAGTCAAGCAGAAGTCAATATAACAAGTTTGGTGCTGTTATAGGTATAGAACCACTAATTCAGGCCCGGTCGGAAAGAACATACAAGAAAGTAGTACATATTTTAAACAAAATAGTTCCTACGCATAGCTGTATCTTTGTCAATAGTGGGAATATTTGGGTAGTGCTAGTATCAAATGAAAGCTTGGGGACTTGGGGTCACTGTAGAACCCTTGTTGAAAGTTTTATTTGAATAATAAAGAAGTATAGGAAATTTTAATAGGAGGGCTCATTTGGCCTGTTGTTCAGATCAGAAGTTCCTGTTTTTGTACTATCAAACTTCCGGGAACCAGTACGCTCTAATATGCAATTAAAGGTATGTTGATTTTTTCAGCACAAGTCAGCATAAGGTACAGTTTTGACATGAAATAACTGCCACTTTATTTGAACTTAAGATAAAGTAGCCATTTATGCTTGAAATTGCAGAATTTAACATAGAAAGCAATGGGGCTATAAATTAGTGGTTTTATACCTATTACTGACAGGCATGTGAAATTCTATTTTTAGAAATCATACCCTTTACAGTGAAAATTGGTCACATTTGTTGTCAGAAATCATGTTACATTATTTTTTTTATGTAACAATTATGTTAGTGTCAAATTACAGCCCTCAAATTGCTACAATAAGGTATTTTAGCCTTTTTTGGTCATTTAGCATGCACACAGTTAAGATTTTACCTGAAATTTAAATTTTTGGATTATCTAACACTGAAACCAATGAAACTTGTATACTATGACTAGTTTATGGTATAAATATTGTTTTTGGTCAAATTATCTAGTGAGTGTTCATGTTTTATTGTGTTTCTTGGTGAATTATTTATTTCAAGGAAAATTGGTGTATACTTATATAGGAATTCCAAAATCTCACTTGAAATGCATTTTATAACCAGTTTAGCAAGTTGTCTAGCTTGGAGATACATAAATTGCTTTGTTGATTCATGTTTATACATGAAAGTATGGTTTTTTTACCTAATCACTCTCCTTTTCCAACATGTAGAAAAAAGGGGGGACAAAATTATCAATTATATTTTATGTTTGGACCACTGTATTTATATTCAAGGAAGAATCTCTGATAAAAATAAGACATATAGGTAAGAACACTGTTATTTGAGTAGATATTAACAAATCAGAACTGGTAAAAATTGAAAAAGTGTCATATCTGTCACTATTAGTATCCATATGTAGTTTTATTTGTTTAACGCATATGTTACTACCAGTCCAATTTGAGCTTGAATTCAGTGATATAGTGTTTTGACAAAAGCTTTATGTGTTTTTCTATGCTAGAAATAGATCATAGAAGGAAATTAAGTCAAGCAGAAGTCAATATAACAAGTTTGGTGCTGTTATAGGTATAGAACCACTAATTCAGGCCCGGTCGGAAAGAACATACAAGAAAGTAGTACATATTTTAAACAAAATAGTTCCTACGCATAGCTGTATCTTTGTCAATAGTGGGAATATTTGGGTAGTGCTAGTATCAAATGAAAGCTTGGGGACTTGGGGTCACTGTAGAACCCTTGTTGAAAGTTTTATTTGAATAATAAAGAAGTATAGGAAATTTTAATAGGAGGGCTCATTTGGCCTGTTGTTCAGATCAGAAGTTCCTGTTTTTGTACTATCAAACTTCCGGGAACCAGTACGCTCTAATATGCAATTAAAGGTATGTTGATTTTTTCAGCACAAGTCAGCATAAGGTACAGTTTTGACATGAAATAACTGCCACTTTATTTGAACTTAAGATAAAGTAGCCATTTATGCTTGAAATTGCAGAATTTAACATAGAAAGCAATGGGGCTATAAATTAGTGGTTTTATACCTATTACTGACAGGCATGTGAAATTCTATTTTTAGAAATCATACCCTTTACAGTGAAAATTGGTCACATTTGTTGTCAGAAATCATGTTACATTATTTTTTTTATGTAACAATTATGTTAGTGTCAAATTACAGCCCTCAAATTGCTACAATAAGGTATTTTAGCCTTTTTTGGTCATTTAGCATGCACACAGTTAAGATTTTACCTGAAATTTAAATTTTTGGATTATCTAACACTGAAACCAATGAAACTTGTATACTATGACTAGTTTATGGTATAAATATTGTTTTTGGTCAAATTATCTAGTGAGTGTTCATGTTTTATTGTGTTTCTTGGTGAATTATTTATTTCAAGGAAAATTGGTGTATACTTATATAGGAATTCCAAAATCTCACTTGAAATGCATTTTATAACCAGTTTAGCAAGTTGTCTAGCTTGGAGATACATAAATTGCTTTGTTGATTCATGTTTATACATGAAAGTATGGTTTTTTTACCTAATCACTCTCCTTTTCCAACATGTAGAAAAAAGGGGGGACAAAATTATCAATTATATTTTATGTTTGGACCACTGTATTTATATTCAAGGAAGAATCTCTGATAAAAATAAGACATATAGGTAAGAACACTGTTATTTGAGTAGATATTAACAAATCAGAACTGGTAAAAATTGAAAAAGTGTCATATCTGTCACTATTAGTATCCATATGTAGTTTTATTTGTTTAACGCATATGTTACTACCAGTCCAATTTGAGCTTGAATTCAGTGATATAGTGTTTTGACAAAAGCTTTATGTGTTTTTCTATGCTAGAAATAGATCATAGAAGGAAATTAAGTCAAGCAGAAGTCAATATAACAAGTTTGGTGCTGTTATAGGTATAGAACCACTAATTCAGGCCCGGTCGGAAAGAACATACAAGAAAGTAGTACATATTTTAAACAAAATAGTTCCTACGCATAGCTGTATCTTTGTCAATAGTGGGAATATTTGGGTAGTGCTAGTATCAAATGAAAGCTTGGGGACTTGGGGTCACTGTAGAACCCTTGTTGAAAGTTTTATTTGAATAATAAAGAAGTATAGGAAATTTTAATAGGAGGGCTCATTTGGCCTGTTGTTCAGATCAGAAGTTCCTGTTTTTGTACTATCAAACTTCCGGGAACCAGTACGCTCTAATATGCAATTAAAGGTATGTTGATTTTTTCAGCACAAGTCAGCATAAGGTACAGTTTTGACATGAAATAACTGCCACTTTATTTGAACTTAAGATAAAGTAGCCATTTATGCTTGAAATTGCAGAATTTAACATAGAAAGCAATGGGGCTATAAATTAGTGGTTTTATACCTATTAGAGTGTTGTTTTAATATCAAAACCATCGATTTGAGGCCAAAAAAGGACTTCATTATTTGCAAAATTGATTTCGAAAACAATGTTTCTCCCAAAATCAAAAAAGAAATTTAAACTGAAAATAATGAAACATAAATATGGTCTGATTAAAATTTTCAACTCCTTCGCAGATATTTTAATACCTAATTTTCATCTTCAAAATTCATCATTTTCCAGAAAATAAATTTGACCGCTCTGTTCAATAACACGGTATTATCTGACTTTCCGACCTAATCAGATTTTTTTTAAATGATTTGCAAATGAAAATTTGTCATTAAATAATATAACAGTTTTTCCTGTTTATTTTATTTTATGACAAATTCGAGTTTAAACTTGTGTATCGTTGCTTTTGTTGTATACTTTTGCGAGTTACACTTTTCAACCTTTTAAAAGATTTTCGACCAGTTGAAACTTTAGAAACATTAGGAATTGTCAAAGCTAATGATGCATTTAAGTAAATGCTTTTAGTTATGCTCAAACTTATGGAGTGATGTAAGTAATTAGAACTGAGTTTCATTTTGCAGTAGTTGGTTACTATGCAATGATAGTGCATAACATGGTTAAATGGGGTTACGTACGAAATAAAACTGTACGTGGGGCTCCATATGACTTCAGAAAAGCACCAAGTAAGTACTCAAACTAAAGAAAGATAGATTATGAAATAAGAAATAAGAAATAAAATAAACAGTGTATCATTTTGTCTAAAACGGTATTGAATTCGGTAAAAATTCAGTTGTTAAGTTGTGTCACAGCGAGAATCATATGTACATGTATTTAATCATACCAAGTGTAAGAGGACGACCATTTGATTTTTTGGGGGAGGAGAATTGTTTTGGCTTTTGTATACGTTCATTTCCTACATGTTGTTTTGTAGACTGTTCATTTCAATCCTGTCTTGGGGAAGGCTATTTTTTTTCAGTTCATACCAGGTCAGAACATTCATTTCCACAATCCTCCTCCCCTCCCGTAGAATATCAAATGGTCGTCCTCTAATGAATGCCATAATCGTCCGATTATCAGGCCAAAAGGGTGGGAATACAAAAACACAACGTACGTAAAATGTTTGGGAGCCTAGAAACTGAAAAGTGGTAAACATTGAAAATTACTGCTCTTACATTTTGTACATCTTCATTTTTACCTGATCAACGAGATCATTTAAAACCTAACGAAAACAGTCTTTGAAAGAGTCGTACAATGTTTTTGTGGCTTGGTAAATTTTTCTCAGGATCAGCACGTAAGATGAAATAAAAAAATTTGAACCCATGATGTATAATTTTGAAATAATATGAAATGTAATTGAAAATGATATGTTTAAATGGAACACACATACACAATTGTATTTATTTCCTGATTGTCTGACAAAAAAGTTCAATATCCGTATTGTAAAGGAAATATTATGACGAAGTTACCTTTCAACTTTTTTTTATGCATAACGTATTCTTAACTATATTTTCAGATGAAATGAGTGGTTATTATTTACAACTTACAAAGCTGATAGAAGAAACATACACCATAAATAACAACAGTAAAGTTGTGCTTTTAGGTCACAGTTTAGGTAACCTTGTGATACTCTATTTTCTTAACAAGAAACCCCAGGAATGGAAGGACAAATTCATTGGATCTTTCGTCACTTTAGCTGCGCCATGGGGAGGTAGTGTCAAAACTGTGAAGATGCAGGCTTCTGGTATATGATACTTTTATTAATGACCTTATTCATGTTTCTTGCAAATGATACATACCCTTAAGGCTGTTATGCAAATGAAAAACAAATCGTTTGATTTAAACAAAATGGGCAACAGTTCTGTTGTTGATATTCAAACAAACCGAAAACAAATCGATGTTGACACGATTAGTATCTGGAAGGCGTAAATGCTTGAACATTCGATTACTGATACTTTGAGTTTTACCTCCAAAAAGTAGTTCATATGTATACAATTTGATCAAGTATTACACTAACATACTCGTTTTGGTACGGACCAGGAAAAAAAATTAAAAATCTACCACCATTATCAAAAAATTCAAAACTACCAATCTAAGTGCACATTTTTGACGAGTATCTTAGTTTAAACAATATCTTATTTTTTCAAAATTTCATAAAAGACAGATATACAACAGCAATATACAGATTCGGAAACAGGAAAAAAGGTATATAAATCGTCTCCCTTGGCGAGCTCTTGATGCCATCCTTGAAGAAGAGCTATCTTCCTTTATCGGAAATAGTTCAGACATTTGGGTTTTAAAAACACACACACACATATAGAAGAGTTTATAATAAATCTTATTTATTTCCCTCTGATTAGACATTATCTTTTGAGAAATATTTTTTTCACGGACAATAAACATTAAAATGGTTCTCTTTTCTTTATTAGGTGACGATATGAATATTGCGACAGTAAAGGCTCTAAGGGCTCGTTCAGTTCAACGGTCAATGCCAAGTTCTGCTTTTCTTCTGCCATCAGATCAGTTTTGGAATAAAACTGAAGTTCTGATTCAGGCACCGACAAGAAATTACACAGTGGGTGATTATAAACAGTTTTTCACAGATATAAATTTTCCTGATGGATATCTGATGAGAAAAGACACCGAGAACTTAGTGAATCCCATGAAGCCTCCAAATGTCGAGGTTCACTGCTTGTACAGCTATGGGTTACCAACTGCCAAAACTTTGGTATACACAAAAGATGAGTGGCCAGACAAACAACCAAAGCCAATAAATGAAGATGGCGACCATACAGTTTCTTTGCGAAGTTTAGAGGGTTGCCTACGTTGGAAAACACTTCAGAAACAGCCTATTTATTTGAAACGCTTTCATGGAATTAAACATCTAGATATGCTGAAAGAGGATGTAGTGATAGACTACATCAAAAGCATTTTGGTCAAATAGTTTATATTTAGAATAAAAACTGTTAACACAGAGATATGTCTCGCTTATTTGTTATTTTGATAATGCACATGTTGAAATTGAAATAACATGTAAGTTATGCAAATATTCAAAGTCAATAAACCATGACTGAAAGTACAGGGCTAAACAATCTCCATGGAAATCAGATGTGCCAATGCTAATACAACTGCATACCAAATACCATTGACTTTTCGTAAGTCGTTCCCTTTAAACAAACCTAAACACAAACATTAACTTGTAAACTATGTAAAAGTTTCAAAGTCAATGAACCATAATGAGGGTTTGGGGTTATATAATCTCCATGGAAATGAAACTTGCAAATGCCAATACATTTGCATACCAAATATCATTGACTTAACATTAGTGATTCATCTTAAACTGACCTAATCACAAACTAAAACATGTAAACTAGCAAAAGTTTCAAAGTCATTAGACTCTGACTGAGGGGTAAGGACCAAATATTCTCCATGGAAATGAGATATGCCAATGCTTATACAACTGCATACTAAATATCATTGACCTAACACTAGTAGTTTCCCAATAAACTGACCTAATCACAAAACTAATACATGTAAACTAAACAAAGTTTCAAAGTCAATAGACCATGACTAAGGGGGAGGGGCCAAATAATCTCCATGGTAATGAGATGTGCCGATGCTAATACAACTGCATACCAAATATCATTGACCTACCACTAGTGGTTCACCATAAACTAGATCTAATCACAAACTAATACATTGTTGACGCCGCCGCCGATGTCGGAAACAGCATACCTATGTCTCGCTTTTTGACTCCGTTAAGGCGAGACAAAAATACAAAATATGAGAACCTCATTCAATTTACTGTAAAAAGTCTTAAGCATTATATATATATCTTAGGGCTATTGCATGAAAAAATGTACATTTGGATAAATTTGGCAAAATTTAATTTGAAGCATGGCTCAAAAAGATGTCAGGAATATGACAGTTCATTCGTTTGATGTGTTTGAGCTTTTGATTGTGCCATTTGCTTAGGGACTTTCCGTTTAGAATTTTCCTCGGAGTTCGGTATTTTTGTTATTTTACTTTTTAATCACAATATCATATTTGAATTTATTTTATAAGACGTCTTAAGGCAAGATATATAATGTTTTGGTCAAGTCTTGGCTCATTTCTAAATATAATAAGACGATCGCAAAATGACTAGTTTGGCACTTCTACATTAAAAGCTCGAATGTTGAAACCTTAAACACAAAGTGGACATGTCATTGCTTCTTCTATTTAGCATTTCGAGCAGTATATTTGAGTTTTTGCGCAACCATCTCAAAGGAGTTTTCCCTTCTTTTTGCAAATTAACGGGTGGTATTAGTATAAACGAATATGAAATTAACACGCACACAAATAATTCATTTATAAATAATTGCACATTTATACCCCATGCAGTGGTTTAAGGCATGTCAGCATATCTTTTTATTATCAAAATCATTAGGATAGTTGCTTAAATTTCAACCTTATTGGATAATTGTCTTATTAGAAATCATAGTACATCTCCTTATTTTATAATATGTAAAAAATATACTTTTTGGTAAGGGAAAAATATGCTTCGAAAGTAGAACAAACTCCACCACAAAGGACATATATGGAATTCACATAATTTTATGACCTTTTTTAAAAAAGCATTTTAACAGTTTTACAATGGATGTATGACTAACTATGAACCAGGAAGCTGAAACTTAAAATATTACAAAAAGGTTTGAATTATTTCCGTGATAGAAATGAGCCTTTCATTAATACAAAACTTCATGCCTAAAATGATTTAACCGATGACTTTTTATTGCTTAAAACGGGAAATTGTTTAATCTTTGCTTAAATGAATCAATTGCTCACAAAACATACAAGCATGCGATTGCTATATGTTGTATGTTGGATATTATTTGAAAGAAGTGCCCATTGCAAACAGCTTTCTCCTGTGATTTTGGGTGAGATTTTTATAAGTTTCTGAACAAATTTATTTATTTCGAATTTTTATTTATTTATTTATTTCAACATTCTGTTATACATTTTTTTAAATTGAGAAACAGATCAAAGAGACAGTAACCAAACAACACTAAAACCAAAGAAGCACTGAGGTCAACTGTGCGGGACAAATGAAATGAAAGAATTTTACAATATCTCTTAACACTACAAAAGTCAAAAAGTCTGTAAAGACCAATTTTTGTCTGAATTTGCATGAATTTTTACTCGACATTCTTTCTTTGTCTGAATTATTTTTAAAAATTCTTAACATATTATGAATTTGTCTAATAAGGTTCTTGATTTTTCTTGACAAGTGTCTTGACAGTATTAAAATTGTCTAAAAATTTCTCAACACCTTCTGTATCATCTGATAAGAGTCTTGATTAGTCTCGACCAATTCTTGACTGTCTTAAATTTGTCTCGATCAGTCTTGACATATTCTTGACATTCTTAATAATGTCTGAATATGTCTTGACATATTCTTGACATTCTTAATAATGCCTGAATATGTCTTGACACATTCTTGACAGTCTTAAAGCTGTCTGAATATATCTCGACACATTATTGACGGTCTTAAAGATGTCTTGACACTATCTCAACAGTATAAATTTCGCTTGAATTGTGTATAGACACATTCTGCACTGTTTAAACACTTTCTTTTGCTGTTATATACTCATTTTTATTATCGCTAAACTAAACTTAGAAAAATCAAGGATTTGTATAGTAAGATACCCTTGGGTGCACTTATGTGGAAAACCCCAGGTAACCCCCTATGTAGTTTAATTTTGATTTATTTTTTATTAAACGTTTAATTAAATTGTTTTCACTTGGAATATATGTCGAAGTTACTGACAAACAGCATTTGAGATTTTATCCCGGTCAATAAACTGCCAGTCAAATTTGCATTACTAAAATGGGTGACATGAGGCAGTTTTAAAATGTTACCATGTGTCTCTTGTGAACCCTACCATTCATCTTGTGCGTGTGTGTGGCTATAAAAAAAGGGGGGACAAAGAATTAATTTGTTCCCATCTTGATTCAAAAACTTATTCATTTATTTTAGAACAACCAAAAACATTTTTTATTCAAAATTGAGTGTTGAATTCATAATTTTCATCAAAACTAAATATTTGTTATACTTTCCTCCTGATTTTTTTCTCAAGAAATCATAGAACAAAAAAAAATGTTTAGGTCATAATTATGTGTGTCTGTTTGAGATCCATTTCATAAGACCAATGATTTCTAGAGAAATCATTGATGGGACCCTTTATAAATACAGTTTTCTATTATTCCTGGAGTAGATATAGTTTTCTTTTAATCTTTGGGAAATTACCCAATTTGCTTTTATGTTAAATTATTTCACTTCATAATTTTTTATGAAGAAAATCCATTTTAATTCAAATTTTTTTAATTAAAATGATGATTTTCATTTTCATCTATCAACAAACTTTTAAAAATTGTAGTGGCATGGTCAGTCAACTGATAAGTTGCATGGCTGATTACAGGTAAAGCAGTAATTTTCCATATGACAGTTGCGTGTACCCTGGGGTGTTTATAACTTATTTGGAATACCTTAATTGTATGGGGAACATCCTGTCCACGTGTTATACTTAATATATATTGCAACAGATGACATTACACAAATGTTCTTCTGTTAAATCAAGGATTTGTATAGTAAGACTATACAAATCCTTGGAAGAATTAGGATACAATAATACTTTGCTATTTATAAAAACCACATTTTAGTACAATAATTGTTTATTTACCCTATTAACATTGAATATTATGCATGTAGAATGAAATATGTCTACAGTATGATTGGTTTTAATCATTTAGCAATTATTTATAAGATTTAGGAATCAACATTATTTATTTTAATTATTTAAAAACCCACAATTGAATTGGTTTTTATCAACATACCCACATAAATATATCTATTCCTTTTGTCTTGGTATATCCTACATAAACCTTTTAACAAGCTGACCACACTCTAACTTATTAGTTAGCGCACATCAGAGTCGTGCATCTATTGCAAATAACTTTGTCGGAAAAGAAATAAAACTAAAGCAAAATTATTTGTCCTTTTAATCATTGTAAATAAGAACAACACATTTAATTATAAAATATTAAGCATTAATCTTTTCGAAACAATTGTTAAGTACTTATAATAAAAAGATTATGATTGATTATTCAGTTGTTATGTTATATGGCACGTGTCAATCGGTTCACTGATTTTCGGCCTATCAAAGAAAAACAGGCACGTGCCTAAACAATGCTTAATTACTAATTTATTTGTGATTATTTTTCTATAAAATTTGAAATTTATGCATTAAATATCAATATCTACCATAATAGGAAAAGAAATTACATGTAACAGCACCCCATCCAGTCCTTAGTGGCATATTATAAGTCCTTAGTGCACTAAGGACCTTAGCAGTGTTTAGCTTACTATATAAACTAAATGCTTAAATGTAACAGAAAGTACATTGTACCAATCATCTGCAGCCACCACCAAATTCCGTAAAGGACAACATCACTTGGAAATCACAATAACCATTGACTTGGTTCTTAACTTAGGACATACATATCTGAATGCACTAGAATAGATATAAAAATAAGATGTTTTATGATTGCCAATGAGACAACTCTTCGTGAGGGACCAAATGACACAGAAGTTAACGACTATAGGTCACCGTACGGCCTTCAACAAGGAGCAAAACCCATACCGCATAGTCAGCTATAAAAGGCCCCGAAATGACAAAAGTAAAACAATGCGAACGAAAAAACTAACGGCCTGATTTATGTTTTTCGTATATCAATTTGTTATCTCTTGATATCTCGATAAGTCGAATAACCAAAGAAGATCGTTAGTGTAGTTTTACAATATCCAAATATGTATATATATATGTAAGGAAAAAATGAAGGTTCAGTGTGCTTGTTTTTAAGATATAAGCCATTGAAAATTTGTCGAAAAATTATTCTCTCTAAGACTTTTCGTACATTTAACATTGGCTCATGTTTTCTTTCAAAAACTATGAAAAAATAACAAGGATTTTATAAGATTTTCAAATATGACTTTTTAAACTATATGTAATGAAAAGTAGTTGTTAGCGGGCAACAAATTTAATAGCGCTATACGTGGATAAAACCAGAAGATTCCGAATATCTGGCAAAAATTAAAAAACAAGGGGAACGAACATCTAAAAATTAACAATTAATACAATATGTGAAAATAGAGGCGAAATATACCGAAGGGACAATCAAAAACCGTGACAAAAAGCGAAAAACGACTAAAGGACAAACAACAATCTACAAAATAGATTGAAAAAACTAAAGACTGAGCAATAGGAAAACCACACAATTAAACGGGGTGATATCAGGGATGTCTTCCCGATTGTCCCACTTTTTAAAATTACAGGTAAAAAAGTAATGAAATTTTGTGGGACAATCGGGAGGGTGCGTCTAAACACTGCTAAGGAGTCCTTAGTGCACTAAGGACTTATGATATGCCACTAAGGACTAGATGGGATGCTATTACATGTAATGTCTTTTCATATTATTGTAGATATTGATATTTAATGCATAAAATTCAAATTTTATAGAAAAATAATCACAAATGAATGAGTTATTCAACATTGTTTAGACACGTGCTTGTTTTTCTTTGATATGCCGAAAATCAATGAACCGTTAAACACGTGTCAAATTACATAACTGATTACACGGGAATCCTGCTATCTGTTGTGTTTAATCGACAATATTGGAAAAGTTGGATACTAATAAATGAATAGTTTTTCAGATTATATTTCAGTGATCAATTTTGATTTGACTTCGCACTGAATAAGTTGTTAAAATTTTATTCATGTTTTTTTTTTCAGATTCTCAAGAGTATTTTGTAATTATTTCTTGTAAATAATAGATTTGTTTCCAGAGCAATATATCTAAATTTATACTCATATATGAAGACGTTAAGCAATGTATTACTGGACAAAAACGAATTCAATATGATAATAAATGTTTACTACATGCAACCAATATAAGAAAGAAGATGTGGTATGATTGGCGATGAGACAACTCTTCACAAGAGACAAAATGACACAGAAATTAATAACTATAAGTCACCGTACGGCCTTCAACAACAATGAGTAAAGCATATACAACGTAGTCATTATTTCATACAATATCTTAAACAGACAATTTGGTTAAAAAAATACAAATCGGATTTCCTTCTGACATACTTGTTCTTCTTAAAGAAAAATAGATTTAAAGAAAATATATTTGAAAATATTTCTGTTTGTTTTTTCAAGGATTTATATAGTAATATACTATACAAATCCTTATTTTTTTTTTCATTTTTACACGTGAGAGATTTAAAGTATTCAAATTATCTTGTATTACAAAAAATGATTATTTTCACATCATGAAAAAGCATATTTTCAAGGCATTCGTACGAAGCATAACCTTTTTATGTCAAAATTATATCTAAAGCTCTAAATTAACACATACGGGCCGGGATAATTTTCGGAAATAATGTGCTAAAAACTGTGGAACATTTAATAAAAACATTTGTCTCCTTTATATATTTAAAATTGAAACTTCAAAGTTCGATAATGACATTTAAACTTCTTATACTTTGAGAAAAAAACAAATGTCGAACAATTACAAAAAGAAAAAATAAGTACGGTATGAAGCCTTTGTAAACAGCTATCAAACTGGTTGAAAACTAGTGGTTTAGAATAACCCCAAGGACGTCATATGATTTTTTTTTCAATTCAATCGTAATTCGTACTAAGTATGAAGCAGTAATAGAAAGTGGAAAAGCAAACACCCGGTTTTGATATTTTTTTCAGAATTTACTCATAAATTTTAATGAAACACGCACCTTTGTCGGAATTAAAATTAAAACAAAAAACTTATAAATATATCTATTCCTTTTGTCTTGGTATCTCTAAATATTACTTCCATGCTCTTACATAAACATTTGACAAGCTGACCACACTCTTAGCTTATTAGTTGGCGCACATCAAAGTCGTGCACAAATGGCAAATAACTTTGTCGAGAAAGAAATAAAAAATAAATAAAATTATTTGTCCTTTTAATCATTGCAAATAAGAACAACATATTTAATTATAAATTATTAAACATTAATCTTTTCGATACAATTTTAAGTACTTAAAATAAAAAGATTATGATTGTTTATTCAGTTGTTATGTTATATGGCACGTGTCAATCGGTTCACTGATTTTCGGCATATCAAAGAAAAATGGGCACGTGCTTAAACAATGTTTAATAACTCGTTTATTTATGATTATTTTTCTATAATTTTTTTAATTTATGCATTAAATATCAATCTCTAACTTAATATGGAAAAATAATACATGTAACAGCACCCCATCTAGTCCTTAGTGGCATAGTATACGTCCTTAGTGCACTAAGGACTCCTTAGCAGTGTTTAGACGTACCGCAATCGGGAATATGTTTGTGGGACAATTGGGAAGTTTAAATGTGGGACAATTGGGAATTGTTTTGATAGTGATTAATTTGTTTTTATAGTGTGTAGCAGTTACTAATCACTGTAACTTATAAAATATGAAAAAAACCATGAACAAATAATAATACTTACATATTATATTTTGCACATACATGTAGTAGGTACAATTGAAGTATCATCAAACATGGAATATAATATGAAGTCATAAAATTTTAGTCTTAGATGCATGATTTTTTTAATTAGTTTTTATTGGCTTTGAACTAGCTGTCAGTAACTGCGAGTACTCTAAGATCTGTACTTAGTGTCTTTGTTGTGGGGATGTATAAGTAGCCGTCCACGTCCATGTCCACTCTGTGATTTGTTAGATGTATTTCTGTCTGTACCCATCTGATGAGTTTAGCCTTTTTCAACTTATTTTTTTTAGTTTATTCTTATGTTGTACTGTTACAACACTGTCCCAGGTTAGTGGTAGGATTGGCGACTTCAAAAAAGTTTAACCCCGCCACGTTCTGTATGTGTCTGTCCCAAGTTAGGAGCCTGTAATTCAGTGGTTGTCGTTTGTTACTGTGTAACACATTTGTTTTTCGTTAATTATTTGGTACATAAATTAGGCCGTTAGTTTTTCTAGTTTGAATTGTTTTACATTTTTCATATGGAGCATTTAAAGCTGACTCTGCTGTATGGGCTTTGCTCATTGTTGAAGGCCGTATTGTGACCTATAGTTGTTAATTTCTGTGTCATTTAGTCTTTTATGGAGAGTTGTCTCATTGGCAATAATACCACATCTTTTTTTTTATGGAAGTCTGGTTCTTCTTTATAGTTGGTGACGAGTCCTGTTGACTGCACTTTATGGCAAAGACACTGGGAATATTGGAAAAACAACCTTTAATATTGATTCATGGAAAGGCTGATCTGGCAGAATTCTAGACAACAGCTTCGTTATCAAAAAAAGGAGGTTGTTGGGTTCAGGTGAATCTGACGTTGGGTGTTAGCAGTCTTCAATAGTGTAGAGAATGTTGTATTAATGTCCTCTGACTTCCCTAGTAAAATTGTAAAGACTTGTGGAAAAATCTCTCCATCAACAAGTTCGTCTAGAGTGTAGAATGTAAATGAGTCTATACCTTTTTTTTTAAATTGAATGCATTATTTATTCAAAAACTTTATAGAGAAAATGTAATTAAAATTACGGTATTGAAATTTGTTTTATAAATTACTTAACATTGTAGATATATTTCATAAGTCAGAAATATTATATTTTTTTAATAAAAAGTGCATTAATCTAATGATTTAAAAAACATTTTTTTATAATTCTATAAAATTAATATTAAATGTGCAATAAATTAATTTTTGTTTATTTAGTAAAACAAACAACAGTTACATTGTTTATCTAAGAACATTTTACTTCATAAAATAATGTGGGACAATCAGAACTTTTCATGTGGGACAATCAGAACTCTAAAATTTTAAAAAGTGGGACAATCGGGAATAAACCATATCAGGTGCTCCGGAAGGGCACGCAATATGTAGGTTTTGCAAAAATAGGTAAAAAGGATGAAAGTCGGAAAATTTGGACTGCATCTGGAAAGTGGCAAACTTTCTGTCTAGCAACAAACTGGCTACGAACCTCTCAAAGAGTTGTTGCAAGGATTATTTAACATGCATGCAAAGAGCTTGACATATTCTTTTGCGCGAGGCAACGGATTTAACATTCAAATTTTGACTGACATGGTTGGGTATCTATAAATACCGCACAGCAAATGGACGCATTTTTAGTATGATTTTACTGCCAGATTTGAGGTATATTTCCGTCAGTCCTTGGGTCAGCAAAACAAGAATATATATACTGGACACAAAACGATTTCACAAATATTGTTGTAAATTTAAAATATACACGATCCAAACTATGAACATTACATATACTAGTAAGTCAGTGTGAGTGACCACTCAGATAACAAAATACAATAAAAACTGATACAAATTTCTTTGTGCAATGACCATGTAATGTTTTAAAGACAACCAACAGCGTTCAATGTCAACTTTGTCGAACTGTATGAATGTTCATACGAGTTAGTTCAGGTAAACAAGTTTCATTGGTATACGTTCAATATTCTGGACTATTTAGAGACGATGTCTACTTAATATCTACATATATTGCGGAAAGACCTAAAAAAAAATAATATTGCGACCCCTGAAGTCGGTTTATTGAGTCTTGTTTATATTTTAGTTCCAGGTGATGGCGGATCAAGAATTGAAGCTAAGCTGAACAAATCTTCTCATGGACCTTATCCATTTTGTGACCAACGTACAAAAGATTTTTATGTTATATGGGTGAACATTGCAAGTGTTTTACACCCAGTTCCGACCGACTGCCTTGTTGAAAACTTTAGGTAAATGGCTGTTTTTATGCCGTTTGCATGAAACATTTGTATTATCCATATCCCTCGTGTGTTGGTACCAAAAGTTCGTTATAATAATCAGCTTACTGGCTATACATATATATATACACCTGGAAAAAAGTATTGCAACACCAAATATAATATGAAATAAAAAACTGAAATTTCAATTTTTTTATTTTCATTTTTATTTATCTGATAGAGTACACCTTTCCTACTTATTGACCTTAAATTAATTGTTTTTCGCCCATGCATTTCCCCATGAGCTGTCCGTGCGTGGCCGTCACTTAAAACTTTCAAAAGTTAAGTTTAAGGTACGGGTCAAAATGTATGCTGTATGTTAGCTTGTTTGTAAAAAACTTATCAACAATTGATGAAATGGGTCCTCCTCAACTTTCTACTGATGTTAGATGGCAAATTATTGGCATGCGAGAAGCTGGAATGTCGTTAAGGCAGATTGCCCGACGCGTGGGCCACCACCATTCAACCATCAGCAGAATTGTAAGTAAACATCAAAATACCAATTCTGTGAAGGACCTTCCCAGATCTGGAAGACCTTCAGTAACTTCCGATCGTGAAAACAGAGCTCTTAGCCGAGTTATTCGAAGAAACCCCTTCATTAACAGTACAGTATTGAAAAGACAGTGGTTTCCACATCGTGCACTCTCCTCAAGAACTTTGAGAAATCGACTCAAAAGGGCAGGATACCGTTCCCGAAGGCCCGTGAAAAGGCCATTGTTAACGCCTAGACACAAAGCTGAACGATTACGGTGGTGTCGAGCTCGTCGTCGCTGGAATTTGGTATCTTGGAGAAGGGTGCATTGGTCCGACGAAAGCAGATTTTTGTTGCATGTCACGGATGGCCGAGTTCGTGTTTGGCGGCAGCCAAATACCGCATATGCCGAAAGGAACATTGTTGAGACAGTCGCTTTCGGTGGTGGCTCCGTTATGGTGTGGGGATGCGTGTCTTAATTATGACTGCAAGTTGGACCTGAAAACTGTTCGTGGTAACCTTAATGGGCAAAGATACCAGCAGGAAATCATTGAAGCAAGTGTAGTGCCGCATTTTGACAATCACCCGTTGAGGACAAGGCCCATTTTCATGGACGATAATGCACGACCGCATCGATCGCGGGCTGTAACAGCGTATCTTCACGACGAGTCAGTGGAGACATTGCCCTGGCCAGCATGTAGCCCCGATTTAAACACGATAGAGCACATTTGGGACATCATCGGTCTAAAAGTGCGAAAAATGACACCTCCTGTGCAAAATCTTGCAGAATTGGACAATGCACTGCACCATGAATGGCAACAGTTAACACAACAACAAATACGACGGTTATGTGGTGGTATGAGAAGGCGGCTGGAAGCAGTGATTCGTGTGAACGGAAGTTATACAAAATATTGAAATTTCCGGTTTAAATTGACAAAATGGACCAAAATGGGTGTGTTTGACATCAACTCGAAGTTGTCCGATGGAATTGGAATCGCGTAGACCAATAGTTGTAAACAGTGCATTTGTGCTCAAAAATGATGTCTTTTTTAAAATAAAATTTTGTATAATTAAATTTGAATTTTTCAGTGTTTAACATGTCTATCAGCTTTAAAAAGACCCAATTCACCCCAAAACTATGAACATTTAACCATATTTTAGAAAAAAATGGTACACGTAAGATTTGAAATTTGTCTAATGGAAAAAATCAGGTGTTGCAATACTTTTTCCAGGTGTATATATATATCAGCTGCAAAGACGTGCATAGTGTTTGTATTGTTCGATCCTGGTTTGTTTTCAAATTCAACTTTTATCGTTCCACATATTTTTGTAAAAGTTTGCATATATGCTACATTGCCTGGCATATCTTCTTCTACTATATGTAAAGGGTATATATACTATTTAACCCATAAGTTAATGCGCGACTCGAATATTTCAAACCCCTACATTTAAACCCGTTAAAAGTTCTGAATATTACTGTTAATATAACTTGTAGAATGTTTGTAATTGAACCTAAGGTATGAACAATGGATATTCCTGGGCTTTAGAATCTGCTCATATGTTTTGCAACTAGTAGTAGACACAGCAAATGAATCAATATTATAATACGGTTTGTTTTTCATATTTGTCCGTTGTCATGCACGGGGTGTGCATGATCTTGCTTCAATCTGATTTCTTTCATAATATTCCAATAAAGACAAACATAATATGATAAACATTTGACAGCTCGAACCAGGAAAAGTAATGAAGATTTTCAACATTTTTAGATTAGTATATGACAACAAGACTCACAAAACCAGTTATCCGGAGGGTGTTGACATACGGGTACCTGGATTTGGTGGAACAGATAGTGTTGAATGGTTGAGTGATACTCATTCACCGAAACGTAAGCTGTTACTCATTTAGACAATTTTTTAGTCTCCGTCACAGTGTTCATAATTTTTCTTAGTATGACCTCAGCAATACCATGAGAACATTAATCCTCATGGCCGATAAGTGGATGGAACAGTGAAGTGATAAGTTATTATAGAGTCCATATTCAGTGTAGTGTTACGTTAAAGCCATAGAACGGAATGGAATATGGTCTAAGACCTAAAAGGTTTTTTTATTAATCAAAACTAAACAATGAGATGACAATAATCTAGTGTTAGCATATGATCTTCACATCAGGCTTATCTATATAAGATTTGACAGCTTTTATTATTTTCAAGATTAAAATACATCAACTGTGTTATTTGCCCACAAAGCGCCGACCCCATCCCCCAAAATAAAATAAATAAAAATAAAAAGGTTTTACATTCTAATAGGATTTGATATATTATATTTTTAAAAACTAGAAATTCGTCAAAAAAGGACATGACTGGGCAAATGAGTCCATTAACATTAGAAACGGTGAAAAAATCCTTGAAACTAAGCCTCACGGGTTATACAAATATCCGAGCTAACCGTGAAATATAGCCTCACGGTTTACCTCATGATGTTAGTCTTGATATATCAATACCTGCCCATGCTGCTTTAAACTTGCAGAACGCCATTAATTTTACCAGGGTTTTGAAGTTCCGATTTTATGTCTTTGTGGTGATTTCTTTAGTTTTTATGTTTACAATTGAGTCCTCCTGTAAATATTTTTTCAGTCGGTTACTTCCACGAACTAGCAGAGAACATGGTTAAATGGGGTTATGTTCGGAACAAAACTATCAGAGGTGCTGCATATGATTTCAGAAGATCACCAAGTAAGTTAATTGAAAAGCAGACTGCACAAATTAAGCGAAGCATACGCCATCCGTTTCCTCGGGTTTTTTTTTTACTAAGCAAGTCCTAATTTAAAATTTTCGAAAGCAAAATAGTAATTACTACATTTGGAAATAAATCAAAAATTAAAACGCCTTACTACTATAAACTTGGACCCGACAAGTTGTAACCCCAGTTTGAAACAAAAATGAAAACACATCGACTGTACATTTGGCACGTGCTGATGCAATGGAAATTCGGCATTTGATACTATATGTGGACAGAGCGTGTACTATTATAAAAACGTCAAAGTAAAACATCGAATCTGAATCGATTGTCGGAGATCGTGGTAGATTTTTACACGGGTTCAAATAATTAAAGATGTGATATGCTGCTTCTCGTGATATACTTTGCCATCTAGGAGTAATAATGATATTGATAGGAGTCGGAGAAATTTGTCTCCTTATGAGCAATCTAAAATTACGTGACTATCAATTTCAGATGAGCTTGAAGATTATTATACAAATCTGACGAAACTGATAGAAGAAACATACAACATGAACAACAATACAAAAGTTGTTCTCTTAGCCCACAGCTTAGGAAACCTGGTGATACTATACTTTCTTAACCATCAAAACCAGGAATGGAAGGACAAATACATCAGATCATTTATAACACTTGGTGCACCGTGGGGAGGGAGCGTCAAAGCTTTGCGGATGATTGTTTCGGGTAAAGATTGAAACATCAGCATTATTACAATATAATCCATACATTTAAACAAATTCACCCATACATTTAATTAAATTTAAGCTGTTTTTTTTTCTTATATTTTATTCGATATTTAAAAAGAGGCATAATATAATAAAGGACATTAAAAAATCATAATTGCCAATACCAAGACAAAAAAACACGAAAAACGACGAAAAGATAAACAACATTCTACAAAACACATAGAAAACTAAAGAATGAAAAACATTAACCCCGTCAAAAACCGTGGCGATCGAAGGTTCTCCGGAAGGACAAGCAGATCCTGATTGTCATGTGACACCTGTCGTTAAATGTTCATGAAATGTACAAAATTTAATTCGTTTATAAGTCTCATCAACCCAATTCAAAACTCAAACCTAAAATAATCCATAAAGGCATTTCAACAACTTTAGTTGTATTCATAAACAAATAAATTATTTTGTATTTTAAAAACAGTGCATTGCTTTATTTCCGAATGATTTTATATTGTTTGTCCTATATATTTGTTGGGGTAACTTAATGAACTCATAATTCCCAAAATGTTTCGCAATTGCAGTTTTTTGGACCAATTTAAGCATTTGCAACATCAGAAGTATGACATAGACATACTGTTATAGCCTTAAGCGTTTGACTTTCATTTTAAGAATTTAATTTCAGGCGACAATGTAAACATCATTACAATCACCGCATTAAAAGCTCGTCCTATGCAACGCTCTATGACAAGTTCCGCTTTCCTGATGCCGACCAATCAGTTTTGGAACAAGTCTGAGGTTTTAATTCAAACACCTAGACGGAATTATACTGTGAATGATTACCAACAGCTCTTCAAAGACCTTAATTTTACAGATGGTATTTTAATGAGAGATGATGTAGAAGGTTTGGTCAACCCCTTAAGACCTCCAAATGTAGAAGTCCATTGTCTCTATGGAAAGGGTTTGAATACTACAGCTAAATGGATCTATGAAGAAGGCGCATTTCCGGACAAACAGCCAAAACATGTGGATGAAGATGGCGACCAAACTGTTAGTATCAGAAGTCTCGAGGGTTGCTTGCCATGGAAACATCTTCAAAAACAGCCATTCCACTCGAAAGCATTTCAGGGAATTGGACATGGGGACATTTTAAATCATGGTGTGTCTATCAAATATATTGAGTCAGTGTTGATGAATTTAAGTTGAAGAGCTTTGTGATAACATGATTTGTTGGATATATTTTACAATCGTGTTTTAAAAGAATAATATAAGCAAGTTTCAAGTTTCAAGTTTCAAGTTTTTAAGTTCTATTTTAATTCAAGACCCCGTGCACACAGGCCTATGGGGTTTGTGAATATGCAAACCCATTCAACGCACTTATCTAACATATATACACTACGGAATTTTGATAAACATGCGATGAAATATGATTAAAAGTATAATATATGATTAAATGGGAGACATATATGTTATTTCGTTACTGATAGTAAAATTTTGCAAAAATTGATAACAGAGAAATCATCATTTAACGTCTGCGTTGTTAGAATGGAGGTTACACTTTTTGTTTCTCTCCGATGCAAACAATTCACATTCAAAATCATATGTAACAGTTACTGGCGAAAGTGTTCAAAATAATTTACTCCTCTTTAAAACTCATTTTTGTCGCAATATTGTGAGAATTCTTGAGGCAAAATTGAAAAATTCTTTATGAACTTGATTCTTCAATAAAATGTACCTTTTTAAACATAATCATTTTGTCACGCCTGAGATGAAAGTACCAAATGCGAGACTCGTTTAAGTTACATTCCGTTGACAGCGGCTCTTCGTTTCAATTTCGATTTAGACTGTATTTTTATTTTTTCCAGACATCAATAACATTGTGAATGTCAATCATTTATTGAATTTTACAAAACCTGTATAGAGTTTTTTTCATGATCAAGAAATGGCATCTGAAACACAATTTCGAAAATATTTGTTTTCTTCATTTTTCTGTATTTACTGATAGATAAAGGTTTTCAGTAAAACATTTGAGATATAGTTTTGGGTTCAGATTTTTTTTAGACACCAATGACTTTGTTAAACCTTCTTGGAATATTATAAAGCTTGAGCAGAATCTTCTTCGTGAACAAGAAGTAACATATAAAAAAAACATCTTGATTTAGTTTTACTTTTCTGTATTTTACTAATAAATTGACTTTTGATACAGTCTAGGAATAAAGTTTTTAAAACATCAACAACCTTTTTCAAATATGCAAGAAATTTCAGGAAACTTCTACAGAAGCGTTTTCGTAATCAAGAGATACAATTAATAAAAGAATGAAAATTAGATCTTTCCACATTTTTCCATTTTTTACTTATAAATGTACTACAATTTTTGTAGTGGACATTTAGGAACATTCTGTGGTTTACTATTTTAAAACAACTTAAATCTTCATGGAATTTTACAAAACTGAGACAGAAGCTTTTTCATCATCCGATAAAGCACCCTTAGATAAACTGTAATTTTCGGATAAAATGACTTATTAGTAATTTTTGTGTAAATTCATTTCTAAGGATCATTATCTTAATGGTTACATTGATATTTCTTGAAATCCAAGTAAAAAATAATTGGAAAATATACACAGTTGATCGATACAGTGTAACCACAGATTCTCGCTTACAGACCAAATAAAAAACACAGGATGCGCAAAAGAGCTAACAGAGGAGAAAAGCTAAAGTACGTCAACCGAAATGAAATTGACATTTCAACTACGTATAACACAACTTTACATATTAAAAATTAACTAAACATCTGCAACAATAGTCATAAAAGTCAGATTTCTGTTATGTTGATCTTCATTTTTTGGTTATAGTATCAACGTTTTTGTTTGCTGTAACACCAGTGTCCCAGGTTAGGGGGGCCGTTGGATTCACAAACATGTTTAACCCCGCAACATTCTGTTTGTGTATGTCCCAATTCATGGGCCTGTCATTCAGTGGTTGGCGTTGGTTCGTGTCTGTCCTATTTGTTTGTTCTTAAGTTGCATTCGGCCGTTGGTTTTCTCGTTTGAATTGTTTCACCTTTTTATGTCGAGGCTTTTTATAGCGGGCTATATGGATTTATCTCATTGTTGAAGGCCGTACGGTGACCTATGATTGCTTTTATCTTCGTCATTTGAACTCTAGTGGATAGTTGTCTCATTGGCAATCATACCACATCTCCTTATCTTTATATTGTTAGTTGGTAGGTTGCAATATTTAATACACTTTCAACAAGACGCCCTTAAGGATTGTGTCACACTAGTGGGTTGGTGGTTTTAAAAGAGAAAATTTTGGAAAAGTTTACGACAGCAGGATGACAACAGACGACGGACCCCAGACGCAATATGGTGAACAAAATTTATTCTAGTTCTCCTGACCGGGTCTGAAAATTGACTTAAAGGCTGAAATAGAAATCGTAATTTTCACTAAATTGTGAAATTGATCACATTGACAAAGACATAAAGATACGGCGATTAATGAATATTCGAATATATCGTGATGCTACTGAAATTAGAAAAATAACAATAAGTATCATTAGTCATACCTTCAAGTTGAAAATGAATAATGAACAATTTATTATTCATACCCTAAAGTTGAATAACAGTTTTACTATTCATATTGAATTTTGAGTGCATTGGTTTACATAGTTTTGGTTGTTCTTTTCAAGTTCGTTTTGTTACTGTATCTTAACATGTGTCTATATATTGTCAGCTCATGTAATATTTTGCTCAGAGCAGTTTGTTTTCGTGAAGGAATATATCCTGAATTGTACATCAAATGCAGCTTTTTGTTTTCTTTGTAGTAAATCAGTATTTAATCATTTGAACAGGATTGAGACACAACGGGGTGATATCGATTGTCTGCAACATCAGATCAGAGGTACTGAAGGCAACACAACACTCGCACAGATTCTATAGCTTCTTATTAAACTTTTGCTTTACAATATTCGGATCAGTTAGGAACTCGCGGAGGTGGGGATAATAAGAGCATACAAATGAGGGAGATTAGTGTAATTGAATTTTCTCAGTTCGAGGGTCGGAAAGATAAAAAATAAGTGAAATTTACATTATAAATTTCTCGCCCTGTATCCCAGTCGGCCTACTTTACAGAACCTGCCTACTTGATTCATTGAAAATTTGTTTTCGTCCTGAATATGCTTGACATATTTTCAACTGGACGTCAATCAGAGAATACTTTAATCATCGGATCGAAATTAAAAATGATGATTGAGTGCTCAGAAACCATCATTCAAAATGCTTAAGGTACATTTTTGTGCTTTGGTCTTTAATGGATAATTGTTTCGTCGAATTTCTTGTTAGATTCAGTCAGGATTCTACTTCGTCCAAATTATCTCCCCAGTACGCCATCTAATTTTTATAATCATAAAAATGGTCCATTCACTTGACCCATATATTTCATTTTTAAGTACTGTAAATTTCTAATGTTATTATATCAACCTATAGCCAAAATATATATGAATAATAGAATCTGAAGCGAGGTGATGTATCAAATATTTTTCTTTTATACGTTTTAAAGACAGAATAGTCAACTCAAACACGTCTGAACATAAAAAGGTGTTCTCGACTTTCTCTTTTCAATGAAATAAAGGCCCATTTTGGGGTTTTTTTTCAAATAAAACTGTCGCCGGGGGCAGAGATGCAAATTAATGCTTTAAAAAGATCATTCTATTATCTTTCTTTTGATATTTTTTGGGCGGATTTGTGCTTATGCACAAAAAAGATCCACATGTAGTTGCCACAATCGACTGTTTTTTTCTTTGAGAAAAGTAGCTAAATCTAAATCTTTAGATCTTGGTACCGCAACCGGTATACGATCATTGCGAATGGAATTCTTGCTATTACCCAGTGTCAATCCAACTTATTTAGACCAAACGAAGACCCAAGTAGAAATGTAAAATATAAAAACAGTGAAAAGCAATAATGATTACAATCGATTGTTTTATAAAATATGTGAATAAGTAGATCAAATACAGTTTCTAGTTTTGAGAACAAAATTTAAAAATTGAAATATGTATTTACTTATTCACTACACACGCTGCAATTTTATACGCAATTGGATACGTCTTTGCATCATACACCTGGTATGAATATTTGTTGAGTGACAGAATTACAGAATAGTTTTAATACTCATGGGAAATTTCACTTTCAATGTCATGCAAAATGCATTTGAAAATAAGCGAGGAATATTTGTAGTGCACTCTGATTTTCACAAATGTGCTTTCCATAGTTATAATTTGTTTATTTTCTCCCTTTAATTTTTGTTTTGAGACGCACGTCACGTAGATCATGATGTAGTTGTCTAGATGCCTAATTAAGCTAATAGTCTACCAGTGTAAGTTTATATATTTTTTCATTTTGATATCATAATTAATATCTTCCCTGAACCGTGTTTAGTAATAATTTTGTACAGTTTATGTCGAAAATCACTTTGACGCACGCCACGTAGATCAGGATGTAGTTGTCCCGATGCCTAATTAAGCTAATAGTCTACCACAGTGTAAGTTTTTATTTTTTTTCATTTTGATATCATAATTTCTATATTCCCTGAACCGTGTTTAGTAATAATTTTGTACAGTTTATGCCGAAAATCACTTTCTTGCTATGTTCTTTGTTCGATTGAAAATCATTTTCATGCTATGAGGGTCTGGATAGGGTGAACAAATAAAGAATAGACCAAAAAAAAAAAAATAAGAAAAGATAAAATCGACCAAAAAATAAAGAATAAGAATAAAGGGGTCCTAAAATGTACAGAATAGTTGTGCAAATGGAGAATAAAGAAACAAGTTGCTTTCTTTAAAAAAAGAAAAGCAATACGTGAACCAATGACTGTTGGATAGTTGTGAATAGAAAAGTGTATATATACAGCTACTCTTTGAATTTACATTTGAAGGCTCGACTATTTTATTTATCATTTGGGAGTGTACATCATTTTTTCATAATCCTATTGCAAATCCCAGTTTCTGCAAACCGGATGTCTAATGTAAATTGCACAAACCAATCGCAATATAAATTTAAGCACTCAGTTTGCTTTATAATCTGGATGCATTTATTTTATCTATCATATCTTCATATTTTGTTTCCTGGATGCCTTCAATTATTTTTAACTCGTTATTGAAGCTGTTTGTACTCATGGTAGATGTTGTATAGATAAATTTAAAGTCCAATTTCCATGTGAAGTGAAAACCTGTGGCATGCAACCTATAAGGTTTCGTGTATTTTTCTTGAGAATAACACACCAGCTTCATTGGGACCTCTTATATAGAGACTTATTTTGGTCTCATAAAACATGTCAATTTCCTGATTTTACTTTAATCAATCCAAATATTCTACAGGAAAACTTGGTTTTGAAGAATATCTTATTTTCAGAAGTTTTATGAATACCTGAACATACTCTCAAAAGAACCAATTTATTTTAAAAGATATGTAGATATAAAAAGATACCAGGATTAAAATGCTATACGCCAGACGCGAGTTACGACTGCAAAGAATCATCAGTGAGGCTCGTTGACGAAGTTAAAAGAAATTCAGGACCCAAAATTCGAAACAAAGGTTTCGCCGAATACATTTAAAGTAATCTATTCCTGGGGTAGAAAATCCTTAGCATTTCGAAAATGTCAAAGTTTATAACAGGACAGTGGCTCAAAAAAGAAAAGAAAAGAAAACAGAAACAGCTAGAGGTCAGAATTCCGTAAGTAATGATGACTATGCTTGAAAGACACATGTCAAGCTCTTACTGTCGTGTCCTGAATTCAGATAAGAAAGGCGAAAATTCACATTCGCGAGTGAAAATAATATTTATGCATGCACGTGGTATTTTTGCGCAAGAAATAGTAGATAGAAAGCATACGCACTGATACTCTGGATAAGAATACGCATTTGCGTCATCACATATATTATATCTAATAGTTGAATTCGGAGGTCAAACTACCTTCCTCAAGTAATTTGACTCCGGATTCATTGCCATTTAATCTGGAATTTGTATGAACGCAAACCGATAGTGTGCGTGTGAACAAGGTGATATATAATGTGGATGAACCAAGACGTGTACGATAGCTGGTCAACACAATGAATACAATTTTCAAAGTCGTACCATAGTGCAAAGATTTAGATGCTATAAGGTTGAACTATTAAAACAAACAAATAAAAAAGAATTGAAATTTTATAATTAACATACATTCCTTTAATGATTTTTTTCTGATAATTTAGAATATAATATCAATAAACACAAACGTCAAGTTATTACGGATGGACATTTTATTTATCAAATCAATCTCTTCATAAAGTCTAGCTTTCCACTATATGAATATATTGCTATACAAAATATAAGCAGAGACTTATAAATCTATACTAAAATAGTATAAAATAGTTAACATAGTAATTAAATTTTGATATAATTACTGTAAAATAATAATTACGTTTTTTGTGAGATGCAAGGATTTAAAATCCTTGTGAATTAAAACCATGCAAGTATTTGTTCATTCACTACCGTTTAAAATTTAGATATTTAGTTAACATTGGGTACGCTTCCCTGCTCATTGGTGCTCATACGTTGCATATAATTTTCATAAATGTAATGACTGAGTGTTCAAACCTGTGAGACATAATGCACGTATATATAACATTTTAAATTATATTCAATTAAGAATAAATTCATTCTCAGTTTAAACTTAATAATGAATATTCTCTTGGTCTGGTAGTATCTATTAATGAAATTAGGTATTTTTGACAGAAAAATCCTTTTGTTTAATTATCTTTCTTCTTTCCGACCACTGTGCTTCCGACCTAAGATAAATATTTATAACAGAAATATCGTTTTCTTAATTTTCTTCATGCTTTCCGACATTTTCGCATGCTATGATTGAAATACAAAATATCTAATAACAAACGTTCAGAAATAATCAGTTTATTCTGGGACATTATATATCAATAAACTATTCCCAGGTTTATTGTCACAATGCACAACAGCACGCTGAATACTACACACACAACCCGTACAGGGGCCGTCTCAAAGCATGAATTATATAATTGCGTTTTCATTATACTTGATATTAAATAAACATTCGCATTATTAAAAACACATTTTTGTCAAAAGGCAAATAGATTCTAACATATAAATGATTTTTTGACTGCAATCTAGTCATTATTGTTTTACTATCCAATCTACAAATGAATTGTGATTGTTGAAATATACGATGTCACGTGGTAGCCTATCCATAGAGGGACCGTATCAAAGACATAGATAACTACTTGTATAAATGATCGAACATTTTTGAGACGTTCCGAGAATCCTGATTCCGAGGATATCGAATGGCCCATACACACTTCCAAAACTAACCAATATATAAGCGTGGACCGGGGTTCACGCAAAAATAATGATTACAGAAATAAATGATGAAAAGAATAACCAAATCGTACACTTTCTATTTATATATTATATATAATTAATAATTGATCATAAAAAGTGTCAAAATGACCGTATTGGACCTTTTCATTGATTTTCGGTATGCCAATTCCTAAGCATCAGTATTTTTTTTCATTCATAAGCATGAGTATATTTACATTCGTAAGCAAGTATTGTTCTGCATGATCTATAACATCAAAGTCTGTATGTAGGCGGGTTCTCTCCGCCCCCTGGCAACAGTTTGCCTAACATGATGACCTATTAGAATACTGATAGAAACAGTCTGTGATAGAGTACGATAAAGATTTATTACAAATTTTAACGACAACATATCAGAAATAGATTTTGTTTTTGACATAGTAAATTTCTCGGAAATTTCCGCCATATTTTTCTTAAAATTTAAATGTCCAGGCAGATTTATTTTAATTTTTTTAATTTTAATTTTTGAAAACTTTGCAAATACTGTAAGTAAATATGCTGTTCTTTATTATACAGTTTGCTCTCCAAAATGATGTAGATTTTACTCAATATTGAAGGACGTATTCCATGATGTGTAGTGTACATATTCCGTCGAGACCATTGCTAAATAGGGGGGGGGGGGGAGGGAGTAGTTGTCTCATTGGCAATCATACATACTATCTCGCCTTTTTTATGCTCAACAACAAAAATAAAAAATTCAAAAGGAAAATAATTTACAACAATTTCATTGCATTTATTGTTCTCCACACGTCCGCTTTAATTTGGTGAGGAAACAAAATTGACAAATAGGAAAGATTATTAAGAAGTATTAAAGAGAAGTCCATGTGGTCAACAAACTTGCATCAATAAATTTTATTTTCATCTATCTTCTTTGAACCCCAAATCACATAATGTTCGGTTGCCGCTGCTGCTGTGACTTGAGATAAGGTATTAAATAAGCATACATCTCTTTCTATTCTAATATTGATATGCTTGATATGTTTTTAGAGGTAGGACTTTCTTAGTTACACAATTGAATAGCCCTGTCGAGCATTGTTGTTATAGGTCCTTTAATCATGTGAATGCATATTATTAAATATTTTAAAATTCATTGTTCAGAAGTCGATATGTTGCCCTATAATGATCATGTAATAACAGTAAGACTATTATTTAAAAATTCTACAGAATAGGCATATTGTTCAATGAATTGAGAAAAATGGCCTAAAAATTAATGATAGAACTGAAGAACCCCTCCCGATCCTCTGCTATGTTCTTTGAATGGTAACAAACGGAAGTTGCATCTTGATCCAGAGATTTTCTAATACGGAAACCAAATTAAAATGGTTGATGAGACATTTCTTGGTCTATTTTTTTTTTCAATTTACCTTTCTACCCCATATCAAAATGTTGAATACATAATTAAGATATATCCTGAAGCTAATTTAGCTTTAGATATTTCAAAAGTTGTGGCTATCACTAACTGGAGACAGTGGAGTGCTGATCGAATCATTTTATTGAACTTATATAGATCACTTATTAGATCTAAACTAGTTATGGTTCAATAGTGTATGGCTCCGCAAAAAAATCTTGCATTCAAATTCTCGATACTGTGCATAACTAATGTATTCGTCTGTGTCTTGGTGCCTTTAAAACACATATGGCAAAACTTGGGGTACTTTGCTAATTTGCATAGCGGCCGTATTGCCATATCATGACGACAGCCATACAAAAGGATTATACAGGCTCCTTAAATATAAATGCAAATATGCCAATTCCTATTTCGAAACAATCATTTGTCCTCATATAGGTGAATTGTACATGTTTTTGGCTTCTGTTCTTGTACAAATGAACATTGTCTACTTTGAAAACTTTTGGCCTCTTAAGTTTGAAAATCGGAAGCGTAACCCTAGTATAATTGCTATATAAAATAACGAAAAATCGTAAAAAATCAAAATTCAAAATAGAAATAAAGA